TTTATGGGTTCTTGTGGTTCGTAGCTGTGTTGTTGCTTTTTGAATTGAATAAAAGTGTTTTTAATGTTCGTGCAATTTATTAGCTGTATATGTTTTATTGTATGATATTTTTTATTGGTACGAATTATTTGTGTTGCGTTTTGTGTTTGCCTTCTACAGAATATGTACCCTTGATTGTAATTGTTGTTTGTTGCATTGATTGCCGGTTACGTGTTGTTACGTGTTACATGCCTTTAACAACAACAATAACAACAACAACAACCAAACAACACAGCAACAACAAAAACAGCAACAACAAAAACAGCAACAACAAAACAACAGCTACAATAGCAACAACACAACAACAACAAAAACAGCAACAACACAACACAACAATAACAACCAACAACAACAACATTATAACAAATTTTTGCAACAATTCAGCAACGGCGCCATTATAAAAACAACAACAACTTGGCAACAAACAGCTCATGTAGAACTAATTGCACAATAACAAGAACGTCAATAGTATCACATCACAATGTTTGTATGCATGTATACTCATATCACGTTACGTTTTTATATTATGTATGTGTGTGTGTGTGTGTTTGTTTGTATGTATATTTGTATATAAATATATACATATGTGTGTTATGTAAATGTGCATGTTAAGTATAGGTCTATATGTGTGTATCTGTGAGCACTTATATGGGTTTTGTATATACACTACAAAGCAATTGAAAAGAAACACAACACACACAAACACACACACAAACACAAACACACAAACAAACACACAAACAAACACACACACACACACGTCCAACATTTTGTTACTAAATTTTCACATTTGACTATACATACATTCAAGGATTAAGAACGAAGCAAAAATATTAAAAAGGCATCGCTATTCGTTATTACTATTTCAAATGAAAATTGACTTGACCTGTCCGTCGTAATAACGCCGTGGTGGGAGAAAGACAATGGCTTAAAAATATTTTAAACCATCTTCCAGATAAAAAATATATTTTAAACCATCTTTCACACCAATGACATTGCCAGAACATGCATCACCAACAACAACACCATTTAAATGCTCGCCGAACATGTCAGCAGTTAGACATTTGAATCTATTTGTGGTAATCATATCAAGCTGACAACGGCGTCAACAGTAAAATAATAAAATGATGATAATTTATTAATAACGTTATTATTGTTTGTTTGTTGATCAGGGTCTAAGCCGGTTTACAGATGATTCCAGGGCTCATCTAAGTCCAATAGATATCATCTAAGAAACTTTCTAAGGATATGTGCAGTTCCAAGTAGAGCAATTTTCTGAGTTTATTCTTTCTTCTGGTTCTCAGGTATCATCTCCAGGTTATTTATTGACGCATTCCCGAATATTCCTTAAGCTCCCACTACTATTGGTATCACTTTACATCTAATGTTCCACGTTCGTGAAATTTCAATTTCCAGGTCTTTACACTTGCATCTTTTTTTTCGCCTCTTTTGAAGCAGCATTTGTGTCAGTCGGCATTGATATTTCAATCACCAGGCATATTTTTTCAATCTTATTTATGACGCTGATATCTGGTCTGTGGGCATTTATTATTATTATCATTTTATTATTATTGTTATTATTTACCCTCCTTTTTATTTACTTTCAATATAATTTTCAAATGAAAATAATTTAATAGCAACTAAAGTTTTTGCGAATTTTGTTAATGATGATATTTGTGAGGATGAAAATGCTGTTAGTGGCGGTTGCGTTGTCAACAAAATTGCTAATGCAAGTTTCATCAAAAAATCCACATCAACATTACATCAATACAGCAATCATTAACCTAAATAACATTAATATTTGCTGTTATGATAAACACCAGCATCAGCAACATTAATATTCAACATCATTTCGGAGAAGCACCAACATTTGTTTGGCTGACAGATACATACACTGCCTAGCAATAACATTAATTTGCTGGTGCTAACTTACATCAACCTAGCATCAATTTAGATGATATAAACTTACATCAACATAACAATAATTAATGTAACGTAGTCAACAACAGCAGCAGCAGTAGTTGTGAAAAGGTTTCATCATTTTAATGAATAACGAGTTGAGTTAATATAAAAATAAAAAGGCAATAGAAGCTTCATTGTCATCCACACCCAACTCCTGCTTCCCTTTTAAATAAATTTCTATCAAAATTTTTTTTCATTTTTAGCGCGATATAAATTATTGTTAGCCAGGCATTGTTTCATTGGAACGACATCTATCCACTAATCCAACTAGCCATTTTTCCATCCATCCAACCAGCCATTCATCTATCCATCCATCCATTCATCCATCAAACCATCCAGCCGACCAACCAACCAACCAGCCAGCCAGCCAATCAACCAACCAACCAACCAGCCATCCAGCTTTCATTTGAAACCGCTCAATAGGAACATGCCTGTCTGTTATTTTTCTTTATCATTTCATTGCGCTCAATGATAATTGATTGATGGTACACTGATCATAATAATAATTATTATTATAGATATTATTACTTATAATTTTAATTATTGTTATTAAATTATTATTATTGCTATTAGGGAGGGTTATATATTTAATAAGTTTGTTGTTGAAATTAACTTAATGAAAGTGTTTAAAAAATATTAAAGCTTTGTAATCATTGAAATGGATTACAGAGGATGATGACAATGAAGAGAATAATTAATTTGACAACAATAAACATATTTCTTATTTTTTATCGCTTTTTCTGCGCAACCTTTTTTCTGCGTTACATTCTATTTACAAACCTGGTTTGGAATGCTGTGGGCTTAACATTCTGCCTTTAATGTAAAATTTGTGAAGTTTCTTTTAATTTATTAGTAGCTGTAACAACAACACCAAAATAACAACAACGGCAACGAGCCAACAACAGTAGTAAGACTAGCAACCGCAGCTGCAACCGCGGCAGCAACAGCAGCCGCAACAGCAGCAGCAACAACAATAAGCCCTGCAAACTGGCTTATTGATACACCTTCAAAATCCTTCGACGAACCTGTCATTATTCTATTATCTCTTTATTATTTATTTGCATCAACTCTTGTCATCGTCACTACTGTCCTTGTTAATGTCATGAATGTCTGAAACCACTGCTATTGTTTCGTTATTGTTCTGATATTTGTCTTTTATTGTTTCGTTATAATTTCGTTATTGTTTCGTTATTGTTTTTGATTTTGCTAGTGTCCAAGTCTAGCGATTAAATGGTTAAATGGTTGTTGTGCTAGAAGGGTTAGTTCTTCGTTGAACTCTCTTACGATCATCCCACCTCTTTATCGTTATGTTTAATCATGTTGGTGAAGAAATAAAGTATTGTACTGCGTATTGTATTGTTAATATTTTTAATCGTAATTTGTATTGTATTGTGTATTGTATTGTTAATATCTTTAATCGTGATTATCGTAAAAATATCCGGCAATAATAAAAAAAATGAATTATTAAAACAAATGAGAAATATTTCCAGTTCATCATTCGAGAAATTAATAAAATTAAATCATAAACATAAATATTTAAAATAACATATTTCACAAAAAATATAGAAAAAAAACATTCCCACCTAACAAAGCTAACAGAAAAAGAAATAAATAAATAAAAAGGTATATGATAAATAATGAGTGGCATCCAAGCAAGCCATTCATAAATGTTTAAAATTAATAGCTGGCCAAGTTATACGAAGTACGGCTGTCTTCTTAATAGACATTAATGATGTTTATATATGGAGTGCTGAGTTCTCTGCTAGGTGGCTCTGGATTAATCATCATCATTGTACGGTTGTGGCAGAGACTTGGGGGGTCATTATATACACGTGTGTTTGTGTGTGTGTATTTGTATGTGTAGGTTGTTTTTGAGTCGTGTGTGTGTCATGTGTGACTGTTTTTGTGTGTAGGTTGTGTGTGTGTCGTGTGTTTGTGTGTGTGTATGTGTGTGTGCGTGCGTGTGTGGTTGTATGTATGTGTGTGTGTGTGTGAGTGTGTGTGAATACATATACATGCAGGCTTGTGCTTCATAATTGATGAATTGTATTATATATGGATATCTTCATCTCGAGATATCCTTCATACTTAATGTACGCATTCATTATATTTTTCTTTATTAGTTTTTCAGTTTTTTTTTCTTTTGCTTTTGCAAGCAAAATTTCCTCCTCGTTACGTATGATGAAGTATTGTCAAATAAATTTTATTTTATTAAAATTTCATTCTCGCTTGAGGTAAATTATTGCAATGTTTCCTCTAAATAATAAGTTTAATAATATGAATGGATACAGATTATTTTAAATTGAATATTTTCTCATTAAATGTTAAACAATGTAATAGTTCGACATTGGAAGGTAATATTGAAAACACAAGAAATCTAATCTTAGTGTACTAAGCAAATATTATAAACACAAGTTAATCGTAAATTTCTAAATTTGTAAGCTGCCTTTCAAGACGTGAAAGGACTCGTTAACTCAGCCGTGTCCGAAGATGTGAAAACAACAGCTAAATCTGTTTTAATGACAAATCAACAATTTATTGCAAAAACGTTGTTTCAACTAAATCACTATTAGAAAATGTCTCAAAACTTTCTTTGCTTTTGAAATTTTTTTTACGAAAGATTTCTGTTACTACTTCTGTGACTAAGAGCCACTCACTCATTTGATACCTCCGATTCTACTTACCATTCACAATATTTAATCTTCAACAGCAGGCTTACAAATATGTAAACACCGAACTTACATGCAATCATTCACCACACCCCACCATTGAAATTTACAAAACAGTGCAGATTACATAAACTGACTCGTTCAGTGAGAGTCACTACTGTTATCTAAAAGCTGGTCTTGCTGTTTATTTTTTGTAATTTTTGAAATGTTAGCTAAGTCGGTTGATTCAGTTAACTGGATGTATGGCGTCATATTTAGTTAACTTACACACTATACACTACGCAATAATCAATTAAAATGTAATGTAAATTTTTTTAAATGCACCAACAGATGGTTCAGGCAATCCAGGTTTTAAGATTTCATCTTCTGGAACTTGAAAAGGTAAGTTTTTCCGTTATTCCGTCATCATCTTTCATTTATTGGGCATCTACATTAATGTGTCATCATTATTTTAATGTTTCATTTTTATAAACACCATGGGAAACATTTGGCGGCTTAAACATAGTCATGCATTGTTGTGATTTGGCTCGCCATCATACTTTTATTTATATATTATCAACAAATTATTACCATATCACACCGTATCATCAACATGCTGTTATAATCAACACAGCCATCATCGTCATAATCAGCATAATAATCGTCACCGTCGTCTTCACAATCATCACGTGATCACGTCGCACGACGCAGGTACATGAGTTGTGCGACAACTTCTGTCATCGTTACATTGGCTGTTTGAAGGGCAAGATGCCTGTTGACCTCGTCATCGAGGAGCAGGATAGTGTCTCCACCTACATTGAAACCAACAACAACAACAACATCAGCAGCAACAACAACAACCTTAACAACAACAACAACAACAATAACAACAACAACAACAACAACAACAGCGGAAGCAACAACCACAACAAAATGAATAGGAGTCCTCAGTCATCGGTCTACAGTGCTCACGAACAAGTCAAACATGTTAGTGCCAAATTTTCTTATCGCGTTTTTAATGCTGCAACTGCTAATGTTAATTTTGATGTTTTTAAAGATGTTTTATTAATTTTTTTTAACTTCTCAATCTGTGTTGGACAAATGTTATGATTCGTTGCTAGATCACTTTCATTTTTAAATTGAACCATGCAAAATTTATTTTTATAAAAATTGAATTACCAGTTTCAATAGCGGATTTCAAAGGTTTTAGTAGAGAAAAATGTTTAGAATGTTTGGTGAATTTTTGGGTTTTTTTTTATCGGAGGGAATATTTAACAATTTTTGTAACTCATGAGATGCTTTGTGAGAAGATCTATTTGTTCATATATCTCAATTAAAAAATATTTTCTTTGGTTAAATGTGCTATTGTAACAAAACTTCTATTTGTTTACATATTTTTTATTTTGCCTCTTGAATCCACACACCAATGGGACATTAGAAATATTTTATTCACACCTGCAAGGGGCAAGTTGCATCAACGTTAAATTTCTACTATACCTCTTAACACGTGTCATAATTTTACAAAATTTCATTCCCTCAAGCTCTTCCTATTTTCGAAGCGAAGTTACAGCCACATCCAATAGTAAAATTCTGTCAAACAAAACACATCCAATTAAATAAATTTATATTTATTTGAATCATTTCTGATTGCAAAAAAACCGATAAATCGTTTTCAAACCTACAACTTTCACTGAAGTTGAGGAAAATAAAAAATTTCCCAGCGTTTGAAAGTAAGGAGATTAACGTGGATTTAAATGAAGTTCATTAGCTTCCTTAATTTTTTCAATCTGACTCCATCTTTGTTTTGTATATATTCATATATTATTATCGTTCGAAATTTTAAAGCGTTTATTTGACCCTTTAATTTCCAAATAAATTATGTAGCGTGCTTCGTCGTTAGGATCATTTTGACCCCAGCCCACATTATTTTTATTTATTTATTTTTCTGAATTACTGCAAATTTAATTTGTTTTTAAAGTTTATGCATTTTATTATTCAAACAAAAACAATTAAATAAAAGTCAAATTTATAAACATTTAAAAATCATAGTCACATTTATAAACAATATGATAAATCATAGTCACTTTTCTAAACATTTCACACATACTGGTTGATGAGCTACCCTGAAAACAAATTTTTCACATTCGGAACATTATGTGTTTGTTTAACGGTCTTAATTGTTTTCACAATATTTACAACGACTTCTTTCTTCTCAAGTTTTGTTCATTGCAACTAAATTATGCTGATTTATTAATAGATGCTACATCAATTTTAGTCCATTCTTTCTCCAAGTCAATGAGAAATGATCTTCATATATTTTTCTTACCATTCAATGGATTTGATGTTTTTCTTATAATGAAAGCTTTAAAAGCTGTTACATCTATCATGTTGAAAAAAATTAGCAAAGGTCAAAGGTTCTTTTCTCGTGCTTGTTCTTTTACTGCTGTAATAGCGCACCATTTGATCCATGCTGTCAACTCCAGCTTTAGTGGCCAAAAGATAAAGACATTGTTTAGAAAATGCAGCGGAGAGTAACAAAGATGATCAAAGGTCTTGGAAAATTTCATTACAAAGATAGATTGGAAAAATGTGGACTGACTACCCTAGAGAGGAAAAGATGCAGAGGTGATATAATACTAACGTACGAATTGATTACCGGAAAAAGGATTACTACGTTATTCTAATTGGGAGTAAAAACAGGACTATGAAGTTTTTTGACAATAGGAAACAAGGAGAGCATCATTTTGAATGATAAAAATTTTGTTGAATACATTATTCTTTGTTTGGCAGCCATTATTTTTTTGGTATTCCACTATTCCACTTTTTCTCATGGTACCAACGATTGTTAAATTTTTTTCTAATAAATTTTCTTGCCACTATGGCATCTATGGCAAGTTATATTTCTACCAGAACCAGAAATATTTTCAACCAGATTACTTATTTCATTTTCTCTCTTCTCTAGGTTGATTTTTACTTTTTCCAGAATAAATTTGCATGGTATAAACATAAGGACAAACACTGTCACGTAATGTTCAATTTTTTATTCTATTTTTACTTGGCTTTGAAGAATTTGTCTGAATGGACACCCATCTCTGAATGTTGCTAACTGTTCATCAATAGTAACTAAGATTCCACAATACAAGTTTTTTGCAGTAATCCAATTATGAATGCACAGATGCGTGTATCAAGGACTATGTATATCCTTCATTTGTTTGATGATTTCGACTCAATACAACAGGATATTTTCTTTAAAGTTGAAGTGGTTTTAGCGATTATTCAAATACGTTCATGTATCGTTAGCTTGACATCAAAAATGTATCCCAAATTTGTGACCTCTTGACTAATCTGATTAATTTTATTTTAAATCACTTTTTTAACAAGTTTATGAAATAATACACTTTTTGTCATTTTAGTTTGCGCCAATCTTTTAGAATGGTTGCCAGGTGCCAGCTACCAAGAACTGCATTTTAAACAAGTTCATCTAAGACAGTTTCGTAACATCCTTATAGATGCACGTTGTTCAAACATTCAATAAGTCTATTAATTCCAATATGGAATGATTCGGGTTTCAGGCTTAAAATTATTTTATTGTCTTCCGCGAAAATATGACGCATAAAACCAATTGATTCGATAACTAAAAAGATCAGCCTTATTCAATAAGAACAAAACAAATCTGGGCACAAAATTCTTGCATCACACAAGACGAGACTAGCTTTGTATTTGACAAATTATTTTCATAAATTGACTTGTGAGACGCACTTCATTTTTTTGCTCATGGAGGTTGAACAGATGATTTTTTAAATGTTTCTTAAAGTCATTTTGGCTGATGATGTTGAAATTTTCAAGATCGACTGGTAAGGCATTTCAAATTTGAACAGCTGATACTGGAAATGTTCTCATACTGAAATAGAAAATTTTAATTTTTGAATCACTAGTTCACTATGGTTAGATGATCACAGTCGACCCATCTACGGAATTTCTGAGACTGATAGTAAGAGGCATCTCCAGCCAGACAATTTGTTTACTAGAAGAGATAGTTTGGAAAATTCTCTTTTTAATATAAGAAGCCAGTATAACTTATCTTTGCTGTTTTGGTATATTGGATCAAATTTCGAGACGCCAGAAACCAGTTTAGCAACATGATTCAAAGCAGATTGAACAACATCTTGCTGCGATAAGTTTATCGCATACATCATCCCGTTAGAGAAATCAATTTCATTGCAGGCAATTTTATTTCTGACAAGAGTTTCTGCTGACTTAACTATCAAATATTGTTTGATAGCTTTTAGTTTTTGAAAATGAAAAAATCATCGTCCACAAAGTTACAAAGTTGACTGATCAGGGATTTCATTGAAGAGTCAGGACCCAACACATCAGCGGGATTTCTCATTGGTCTTTTAAAGTCATCTGTCTGACGAAGCTTGTAAAGAGTTCCCAATTGAATGTACTGGGTTTTTTAATATTTTATTTCAGTTTATTTACCGTCATCAAATGGCCCAATGTATTTACTTAGTCAAACAAATGTTCAAACGTCCAAAGACTCCTTGCTAAAGTTGCCAAATTTCATTACAAAACCACTGAAAAAAACTTTAGAAAAAAAAGTTTTAGAAGGTTTTTGCAAAGTTTTTCATTACATGTTATAATTACTTTTTATCTTAACAAATGTATTTTTTTATTTTTTAAATTTGTGGGCGCTCAACACGGGGTCTGGTTGCATATTTATTTTCCAATTCTCCCGAGAAGGTCTAAATAAGTTATTCTTTCTTATTCTTTCTCTTCTGACATTTCAACGTTCTCTCTCTGTGTGTGTTTTACTTTTTAAAGACGTTTCCATTTTTTTCATTCTTTATATTTTTTAAAAGTTTTTTTATTTTGCTCTGTTGTTGTTTCTGTCGGTGCAGTTATTTTTTGTGCCTATGTTATTGTTCTTGTATTTGTATTTGTTATTGTTCTTGTATTATTTTTGTATTTGTATGTTATTTGTATGTGTGATAAGGTTTTATTTTTTTCACTCCCTTTGTTGTTGTCTTTTGTGTCTGATATTGTTGGGCTTCTAGTTATTTTGTTGTGTGTGTTTTTTTATTCTTTTAAATATTGTTATTGCTGTTGTTATTATTGTTATATGTAGGATATTGCTTTTTTTGCAGTTGTATGTGATTGATGTTGTTATTTTGTTGCGATTATTGTTGTTGTTGGTATACTGTTAATGCTGCTTTTGTTGTTATTGTGTTGTTGTTTCTATTGCTGTTGTTTTTGTGTTGTTGTTGTGTGTGTGTGGTGCTTGAAATTTATATCACTTCTTCCTGCCTTGTCGTCTGACGGTTTGGAGAATTATTCATTCAAAGAATTCGTCGTCTTTCTTCTTTTTTGGTTTTGAAAAATTTTTTTGTTTGCATTTTGTTTTGTCATTTATTTTTTAAGGAAAAATTATTGAAAAATTAACTAAACGGGTTTTTAAGAATGTTTTATCATTATTTTTATGAGGGTTTCTCATTTGTTTTTTATTGGACGTGCTGGCAGGCACGTACGAGGGTCTGCATGTTTGTGTCTCAACTATTTGTTTGCTCTGATTGCTCCATTCTACTCTAGAAAGATAGATAACGTGGATATGTGAGTAACATGTTCAATTTACATCGCACGCATACAGCAAGCCAACATTTTCCTTTTATTTCATATCGCACATTTTTTAGTAAAATCTCTCTCGAAAGTACTTCTCCACCACGTGTAAAATAACACCTTTTTTTTGTTTTCACCAGCAACTGCGATACAATTAAAATTTTTTATAACTTTCATAAATATTATAACACACGAACAGATGCAATAACATCAAAACACGCTGCACCATTGACAAAATGTCATGAAATGCATTCGTGGTGAGATTGGGTGAGTGTGCGTGCGTGCGTGTGTGTGCGTGCGTGTGTATGCGTGCGTGCGTGCGTGTGTGCGTGCGTGTGTGCGTGCGTGTGTGCGTGCGTGTGTATGCGTGCGTGCGTGCGTGCACCGGCATGTCTGCATTTGCTATCATTGGGGATTTGTTAATATTTTTCGCTTCATTCATCACTGCTTCCATATTTTTAGCCGCAACTTTTTTCCTCATTTCAAATAAAGCAGGCATCTACAGCCGCATTTATAAGTTGATTGCTGAAAATTAATCAACGTTCCAAGCTACCAAGCCCACCGAGGTTCGGAGAAGGAAGAAATAAATTGATGGTGGTGGTGGTGGTCGCATGGATTGAGGGACGCAAAAGTAAATGAATGAATGTTTCAATGTCGTGCAGAGCAAAGAACGAATGTGTTGATGGATGAATGAATTGGATAAATATGCAAATAAATTATAAAATCGATGGATGGATGAATGGATGAATGAATGGATGAATGAACGAACAAACGAATGAATGAATGAACGAATAGTTGAATATATTACAGGATGTATAGGACAAACAAATTAATGTGTAGAAATGACTGAATATATGTGCGTAATGAGTGACTTAGCAGATGTATGAAGGAAGGAATGCATAAATGCGCAGATGAATAAATAAATGAATGAATGGATGAATGGATGTGATTTGATGAATTGATGATC